GAATCTCGGCGCCCTCTGTCGGCCACTCTGGGCGGGATGGGGCGAGTCGGGGGCGGGGCTCGCCCTGGAGGCTCTGCCCCTTCTTCCCAGGGTGGGGCGGGGTGGTGGTTATCCGCAAAGGCTGCAGAGGTTTCGCAAGGACGTGACATTTATGGGAAAAAAAAACTCCATCGCGCCCTGTTGCCAGTCAGGGCTAGTGAGCTGAACTAGTTTTCCGAAGCCCGCAGAGGGAGGGGCCGGGGCGGAATTGTCCAGCCCAGTGACTCGCGGCCTATTGCCCCTCCGAAACCACGGCAGTGTGCCCTGAGCCCCGGGGCACCGATGGGGCGCGAGCCCGCACCCGACTGCGTCCAGGCCTGCCGCTGGGGCGACGTCACTGTCACTACACTGGGAGTCAGCAGAATGAGGGCACTCTCGCCTCTCTTTCTCCTCCCTACAATTCCAGAAATGAGGCCCCAGAGCCCAGGCTGATCTAAACAGCCCCCACCCCAGCTGGGGTTTGGATTGGAAGGCTGCGAAACGACAGAATTAGGATGGTTTGGGAATAAAGAAAAAGGGAGTCGGGTGCTTTAGCCTCGGAATGGGCTCAGCCAAGGTCGTTTAGAGGTGCCCGGCAAGAGGGGAGTAACTACCCCTCCCCCATCCTATTCTGAGGCAGGCAGCAGGGGTGGCCACAGGGGCTGTGTGTGTCCTTGTTAGGGCCTGAGAAAAACCCAGGGACTGGGAGGCAGGAGGACTGGGTACACACAAGGTCCCAGCTCCACCTTCATCTGTCACTCTGGGGAGCAGGTCACTTAACCTCTCTGGGCCTCAGTTTCCTCGCTTGAAGAATAAGGGGTCTGGAAAAGATTATGGAATATGTTTTGAGTACTATCTGTGGCCTAGGAACTGAGAGTCCCTGTCCCGATACCATCCAGTAAGTCAGAGAAAAAGGAATGATCAGAGGCCAAGGCTGTCACTCACCTGGCTCTCTGTAGCTACAAATTCTCACATGGGCTTCAGTTCCCTTCAGCAAACAATTTTGAACTTCTGCCTGTGTGCCAAACACAGGCTCAGGCCCAATGTTTGCGGAGCCCGGGGCAAGAGTATGCACAGAGGGCCATACAGTGTATGTCTGAATATTTAAAACCTACACGTCAAGCTAACAAACTGTTAAATAAAACATGTTCTATCCTCCTATCTGAGCAGATACACCTTTGTAACAATCTGAAAGGTTAAGTTCGAGTCTGCAGTTCTAGTATTCCTCAGCGTTCTGGGCTAGAGTGTGATGGCACAGAGAGTGCTCCCAGCTCAAGGCTGTGACGTGGCTTCCCTCTGTTCCCAGGCTGGATCCATCCTATGTTATGAGGGATCTTTCCCACGCATATCCTCATGTCCAAGCTCTGTCCACATCTCTGCAAGTGTCTGCCCCTTAAAGGGTCACTTCTTGAGTGTGCACATTGGTGAGCCTGTCCACCTTTAGGAGACTGGACCTAGAGAAGTGGATTCAGAACTTGTTGGGCAGGCAGGGAATTCCCAGGCCCCAGATATCCAGAACATGGTTCTGGGTGGGCAAGTCCCTTGGGCCCAATGACTCCTTGCCCTATGTCTCCCTGCGTCTTGCCCTGTCTGAAGGCGACACCAGCCATTGTGGGAGTGCAGACTTGGATCAAGCACAGCCCCGTCAAGGAGCCCAGCCATCCAAACACTATGAACTTTGGCTGGGCGCAGTGGCTCAAGCCTGCAATCCCAGCACATTGGGAGCCCAAGGCATGTGGATCACTTGAGGTCAGGAGTTTGAGACCAGCCTGGACAACGTGGTGAAACCCAGTATCTACTAAACATGCAAAAATTAGCCGGGCATGGTGGTGCATGCCTGTAGTCCCAGCTACTCAGGAGACTGAGGCAGGAGAATTGCTTGAATCTGGGAGGCGGAGGTTGGCAAAATCATGCATCTTGGGCCATCACTATTTCTCAAGGTCACTTCCCCTCTCCTCCCTCCTCCAGCTTCTTCTTCTTCTTCTTCTTTTTTTTTTAATACCAAGATACTTGGCAGATGCCTTTATCCAGCTTCTTTTATGGGCTACCAATTGCATGAATACCAACAGCTAGCACGGGCACAAAACTGCCCCAGCAGGGCTGGGCACAGTGGCTCATGCCTGTAATACCAGCACTTTGGGAGGCCAAGGTGAATGGATTACTTGAGGTCAGGAGTTGGAGACCAGCCTGGCTAGCATGGTAAAACCACATCTCTACTAAAAATACAAAAGAAAAATAGTACTCAGGCATGGCAGTGCACACCTGTAGTCCCACCTACTCAGGAGGCTGAGGCAGGAGAATTGCTTGAACCTGGGAGGCAGAGGTTGCAGTGAGCTGAGATCACTGCACTCCAGTCTGGGTGACAGAGTGAGGCTCTGTCTCAAAAACAAAAACTAATAAAAGTGGCTATTCCTCAAGGATCTAGAACTAGAAATACCATTTGACCCAGCAATCCCATTACTAGGTATATACCCAAAGGGTTATATATCATTCTACTATAAAGACGCATGCATATTATTGTGGCACTGTTCACAATAGCAAAGACTTGGAACCAACCCAAATGCCCATCAATGATAGACTAGATAGAGAAAATATGGCACATATGCACCATGGAATACTATGCAGCCATAAAAAGGATGAGTTCATGTCCTTTGCAGGGAAATGGATAAAGCTGGAAACCATCATTCTCAGCAAACTAACACAAGAACAGAAAACCAAACACCATGTTCTCACTCATAAGTGGGAGTTGAACAATGAGAACACATGGACACAGGGAGGGGAACATCACACCAGGGCCTGTTGGGGGGTGGGAGGATAGGGGAGGGATAGCATTAGGAGAAATACCTATTGTAGATGACGGGTTGATGGGTGCAGCAAACCATCATGGCACATGTATATCTATGTAACAAACCTGCACATTCTGCACATGTGTCCCATAACTTAGTATAGTTAAAAACATAAAAATGAAAACCTCCCCCACAGCCCATGAGTGGCTGGAGTCAGCTCTGAAAGGAAGGGCCTTTCTCCCATCTTGATCTTTAAGTTTCTCCCAGGGATGTCAGTCAGTCACATTTCCCATAACAACCCCCGCCCACCTGCTTTTCTCCCTGGAGCAAGGTTTTGATTAAGGGCCGTTCATCCTCCCAAGTCCGTGACACCAGCAGGCCTGGTGGATGGGCTCCTTCCTTTCTATGCCAAAAGTCTCTGATGCCTCCTTATTTTCCACTTGGGAGAAGTGTTTCAATTCACAGGTTGGGGAGAAGGTCTTTTTTACTGGGATCCTAGTGCCAGAGCACCAGGCCCACTGGCCTGGAGAAGGTGGAAGGCAAGATCGACCCAAAAACCTGTGAACAAAGGTTGTGGGTGCAGACAGGCTGGCTCTGACAGTTGTGATTCGGCCTCTGGACTGCTGTTGGGGGAATGGGGACTTCATTGGTCCAAGGCTTGGAGTGATGGCTACAGGGACACCTCTAATGCCGATGGTCACAGTGAGAAGGCTACCCATTACTGTCATCTAATAAGTGAGGCGAGTCCAACCCTGGGGATAGAGATGTCATTTGAGAGGCTCCCCCGACCCACATCCCTACCACATCCCTAGTATTCTCCTCTTTCCAGCAGGTTAGACAAGTTTAGCCACATTTTGGATTTCAAGGTTCAAATGGAAGAAAACAAAAATTCCCCATGGCACAGTAGCCTGAGATGCTTAGATTCGCATCCAGAACCATTGTGGGAAGGGAACTCCTGGCTTCCTCCCGTCAGCACTGGCTCACCAAGCCCTGCGTGGCCAGAACCTGCCAGGTTGCCATGGATACCTGGGAGTGCTGTCCTAGCAGACAGCAAAGGCTTGCTGGGGCCAGGAGAATGTGGGGGCACCTGAACTGCTGGCAAGAAGGCCTAGAGAAACAGTCCCCCTGCTGCCCTCATTTTGATCAGACCCACTCCATCAGTCTCCTAAAATGGGGCTTTCCAAACTTTACCCGGCACAGAAATTTCCCTCTCCTCCCAACCTGGTTAAAATGCAGATGCTGGCCAGGCATGGTGGTTCACACCTGTAATCGCAGCACTTTGGGAGGCCGAGGCAGGTGGATCACTTGAGGTCAGGAGTTCAAGACCAGCCTGGCCAACATGGTGAAACACTGTCTCTACTAAAAATACAAAAATTAGCTCGGTGTGGTGGCACACGTCTGTAATCCTAACTACTCAGGAAGCTGAGGCACAAGAATCTCTTGAACCAGAAGATGGAGGTTGCAGTGAGCTGAGATCTCATTACTGCACTCCAGCCTGGGAAACAGAGTGAGACTCCTTTAAAAAAAAAAATGCAGATGGTGATTCGACAGGTCTAGGGCGGGGGCAGAGGGTGCTGAGATTCTGTTTTCCTAACCAGCTCTCAGGTGCTGCTGCTGGTCCACTGGCCACACTCTGAGTAGCTAGGACCTAAACTGAGTCCTGGTGGGTTTCAGAAACCTCAGCCAGATTCTGAAGGTGACCCATGGACCCACTGCCTTAGGCCACCACTTCCAGCCTTAACTTCAGTGGGAACCTCTAGCTTTCCTGTAGTGGAAGGACCCTCTCTCTAGTCTGTTTTTGGATCATTCACCATCAACCACTTCAAAGAAAGGAAATCAGCAGCCTGCATTTCGGGGAAACATCATTTTAAGCTGTCCTGTCCCTTCTCCAGCTCTCCAAGTTATGTAATGCGTCCTTGTTGAAAATGCTGATAATGCTATTTGGGTGGCAGGAAGCCAATTTCGGGCTACATATTGCTTTGGGTGGGGCTGGGGCTGGGGTCAGGGAAGGGGATGGGGCCTGGGGAGGGTTTAAGGAGAGAAAGGGGCCAGGCAGATGGAGAGAGGATGGGAGGGCCAGGGTGGGCAAGGCCTGGGGCTAAAGCCGATTGGTATGTCAGCAAAATCTGTCACTGGCTTTAGTGATTCGAAAGGCAGACACATTCTTTCATCTCTGTTAATCCTCATCTGATACAGAGGATTTTCCTGCCATTAAATCTGGAGAAAGAAAAATAAGCACTCAAACCTGCCCAAGCAACTATTCCTCTTCACCCCTCGCTCCCGTCCCCGCACCCCCACCTCCACTTCTCTCTCAGACCATTTTCAGCCTCTGTGGCTGCCTGACTTGGGAGATGGATGGGCTGGGGGAGTGGAGGGTTGCCTTAACGGAGCGGGACCAGGCAGACTCCCAGGACGGTAAGCAACCTTTGAGGACCATTCACTAACACTTCTCTGCAGAGGTTTCCTCTCCGTCCATTTCCTTGCTGGGTTGTGAGTGATGCCATCTGAGTTGCTGTCAGGCTGTAGCCTGATGAAGGGTTTCCTGATAGATCCATCCATTCGCGGGTAGTTTCTGATTGTCTGTCATTACTGGTTTCTCTTAGCTCAACACCTGGGTGGTTGAGGATGAAGGAATGTGAGGAAGAAAGAAAGGGAGGGCATTCAGGAGGAAGTGTAGCGGCATGGAGGGTTCTCACGGGGCCCTCCTGGGCACTGGGTGACCTGTCCTTTCTCCCCTCAGGTAGGGATCCCATGGCTGGGTGGTCCTAGGCCGCCGGGTGTATGAAGGGCCGAGGGATGCTGGTTCTGCTTCTGCATGGTGAGTTCTGCTGCTGGTGGGTGCAGGGGTGGGAAGAGGCGTGGAAGCCACAGAACTTCTACCCAAAGAGTCTTTAAGTGGGTTCTGGGACAGCTGTATCTGGACTTCTGATCAGGTTTCACTGATGGCAGGTGGTGGGGATTTTTGTTTGCCTAAAGCAAAACTCCTGAGCCGAATATATGAAATAGTCCTCTTGGTGAATTTCTTATTCTAATTTCAGATATGAATTCATTGGTGTAATAACCAAAAGCTACAGTGTTTTTTTTTCTTTTCTTTTTTTCTTGAGACAGTCTCACTGTCACCCAGGCTGGAGTGCAGTGGCATGATCTCAGCTCACTGCAACTTCCACCTCCTGCATTCCAGCAATTCTTGTGCCTCAAGCCTCCTGAGTAGCCTGGAACTATAGGCACCTGCCACCACTCCTGGCTAATTTTTTTGTATTTTTAGTAAAGACGTGGTTTTGCCATATTGCCCAGGCTGGTCTTGAACCCCTGAGCTCAGGTGACCCACCTGCCTCGGCCTCCCAAAGTGCTGGGATTATGGCGCGAGCCATTGTGTCCGGTCTACAGTGGTTTCTAATCACATTATTTTAAGTTCGTTTAGTTAAAAACAAAAGTCCCTTAAAGAAACCACCTTCCCAAAGGAAAAAGAAAAAATGAAAAATGTCTTGGAATTGTGGGATTATGGATGTTGAAGTTATTTTTCAAAGTTTCTTGCCCTGTTATGTGCACTTTAATATACCAAGAAGACTCATTATGAAATAATTTCCCCAGCTCTAGCTGTTGCAATCTGACTGAGATAACCCGAGGAAAAATCCTTTAAGTTCTTCAGTAAATGATTCCACACAAAGAATCTGTTTTCTTCTGACCTTCAAGTGAATTTAATTATTTGAGATATGATGGTCTATGTAACAGACCTCTCTGTATGCGATGCTGGTAGAGAATATATTTTACCAAATAGTTCTAAAGCAGGAGTAATGGCGTTTTCCTCCCTTTATTCCATCTCTTCAAAAACCAGAACTTGCTCTGTTCAACCAACAGACATACATTGGGTGCCTTCAATATGCTCGAGGGATATTTATGAGGGATATGATAGCATGGTCTTTGTCCTTGAGAAAATTCTTTTATAAGAGATTCAATAAATAAGCAATACAAAAATTGGAGCAAGGCACATGGAACCCTTTGATAAATAGGACAGGACTTCCTACCTGGAGGAGGCTCTAAAGAACAGAGGTTGATATTTATATAATTACTAACAGCCCTTTGGAAGGCCGAGGCGGGTGGATCACTAGGTCAAGAGATCGAGACCATCCTGGTCAACATGGTGAAACCCCGTCTCTACTAAAAATACCAAAAATTAGCTGGGCATGGTGGGGCGTGCCTGTAATCCCAGCTACTCAGGAGGCTGAGGCAGGAGAATTGCCTGAACCCAGGAGGCGGAGGTTGCGGTGAGCCAAGATCGTGCCATTGCACTCCAGCCTGGGTAACAAGAGCGAAACTCCGTCTCAAAAAAAAAAAAAAAAAAATTACTAACAGCCAACTTCTTTTTTTTCTCTTTTTTTTCCTTTGAGACTGAGTTTCCCTCTTGTTGCCCAGGCTGAAGTGCAATGGCGCGATCTCGGCTCAAGGCAACCTCTGCCTCCCAGGTTTAAGCGATTCTCCTGCCTCAGCCTCCTGAGTAGCTGGGATTACAGGCATGCGCCACCACACCCAGCTAATTTTTGTATTTTTAGTAGAGACGGGGTTTCTCCATGTTGGTCAGGCTGGTCTCGAACTCCCAACCTCAGGTGATCTGCCTGCCTTAGCCTCCCAATGTGCTGGGATTACAGGGGTGAGCCACCACGCCCGGCCAAAAGCCAACTTCTAGCCATTCCTCCTACCTTGAAAGGATATGAAACTTGATTGACTCATTGGGACAGAATGTTTGCTTCCAACAGCCAGTATCATTTTAAACGTGCACCAAAAGCTCTATCATTCCTCACAGAAAGCAGACAGTATTCATAGCTGCACACTGCAAAACAGGAACTGTCCCTGCTACAGAAACCCAAAATATATCCAGACTTCTTGTGACAAGATGGAGAGCTCAGCAGTGATATCATTTGCTAACAATAGATGCACTTAAAATTAATGACCATCTCCACATCCCCTGGCACTTAAATTTAAAACACACTCTAGCAAGCACAGAGAATATTTCTCTGACTGCAAGTCACAAGCAATACAGACAATATGTTCCCGAGAAGCAGGCAGGGATAGTGCCCTACCTCCATGGCCAGAAAAAAAAAATGACTAAGTGAGCCTCACAAAACAAGACCTTGGGGAAATCAGAAGTGGCTCGCAGCAGGGAAATTTGGGGCAAGAGAAATTCTCCTCTGGACACACAGTGCTCCTGGAAGTGCCCCACTTCTCAGATGCATAGGTGCAAATACCTCAACCTCCTTCCCCCATGTTAAGCCCTGGGCTCTTCCTGTTGTTCACAACACAGTATCTGAACCTCTTAACTTGCTTTAAAGGGTCTTTCACGTGTGACTTGCTCTACACTATGAGTCTTCAAAAAGGGTCAGGGATTGTGTATATGTGTTTTTTTTTTGTGTGTGGTTTTTTGTTTTGTTTTGTTTTTCTTTGAGACAGGGTGTTGCTCTGTTGCCCAGGCTGGAGTGCAGTGGCATGATCTTGACTCATTGCAATCTCTGCTCCCGGGTTCAAATGAGTCTCATGCCTCAGCCTCCTGAGTAGCTGAGGTTACAGGCATGTGCCACCACGTCCAGCTAATTTTTGTATTTTTAGTAGAGATGGGGTTTTACCATCTTGGCCAGGCTGGTCTCGAACTCCTGACCTTGTGATCTGCCCGCGTCAGCCTCCCAAAGTGCTAGGATTACAGGCATGAGCCATTGTGCCCAGCCAATCCTTTTTTTTAAAGACAGGTCTCACTCTGTCACCTAGGCTGGAGTGCAGTGGCACAGGCACAGCTCACTGCAGCCTCGACCTCCCTGGCTTAAGCAATCCTCCCACCTCAGCCTCCCAAGTAGCTAGAAACACAGGTGTGCATCACCACACCTAGCTAATTTTTGTATTTTTCATAGACGTGAGGTCTTGTCATGTTGCCCGGGCTGATCCTGAACTCCTGGGTTCGAGTGATCCTCCCACCTTTGCTTCCCAAAGTGCTGGGATCATAGGCATGAGCCACTGCTCCTGGCCTCCACACGTTCTTTGAAGGATTTGTGCCTTGATGAGGTTAAATCCTGTGAGAAGAATGGTTCATGGAACCCACACCTAGCTTGGGTCAGTGTTTTCACAGTTATCTGCAATGAGATGCATCTGTCCCCCACAGCTGTTTACACATTACAGATGAGGAAACTGAGAGACAGAGGTTGTCTGAATTCTTTTTTTTGAGACAAAGTCTCGTTCTGTCGCCCAGGCTGGAAGGCAGTGGTGCAATCTCGGCTCAATGCAACCTCCGCCTCCCAGTTTCAAGTGATTCTCCTGCCTCAGCCTCCCAAGTAGCAGGGACTACAGGCGCCTGCCACCACACCCAACTAATTTTTTGTATTTTTAGTGGAGACAGGGTTTCACCATGTTGGCCAGGCTGGTGTCAAACTCCTGACCTCAGGTGATCTGCCTGCCTCGGCCTCCCAAAGTGCTGGGATTACAGGCGTTGAGTCACCTCGCCCAGCCTGAAGTTTGTTTGTTTGTTTGTTTTTTAAAAAAAGCAGTGTGAGAGAACAGGGAGGAGAGTTAGTGTCCACGGAGTTTAATGAGAGAACTAGGTCAAGAGGCTGTGCCCTCAGGGGAGTGTTTTAAGACTGAATGTTCTGGAAAGCACTGCATGTGAATCCGGGAGTAACGACAGAGGCTGGCTGAGTAGGGACCTATCATGAGCCCAGGCCAGTCCTGCTACATTTCCCATCTTCCCCTCCCTGCCTCAGGCTGCGGGGGTGGGGGGGGGGGTGGGGAAAGCACTGAAGCCTTTTCCGATTTCCAGATAGATCCTTCCCCAAAATACCGGTACAAGAAGAGAAATTGCTAAGCAACTGCCAAATGAATTTTACCTTCTCTTTTCACAAACTGTAATCTTTATTTTTAATTTGGTAAATGTTTTTCTGGCCAAGGTATTCCCATGGAACTCAGCTCTGAATGGCCAAGGAGATTTGTTTTTGGAATGATCACTGCTGATTCCGGGAAAGACTATTTTTTCATTTGGATTCAGCAAAGCCAGGGGTGTCCTAAACAGTGTTTAATTCGATGTTATACATTTCCTGTCAATGAATGGGGAGAAGTTTCCTTTTGGTTGAGGAGTGCTGCCTGGTACTGAATTTGAGTTGTTTACTCTGTCAAGGTGAAGAGGTCACTGGCCGGGGGTGGTGGCCCATGCCTGTAATCCCAGCACTTCGGGAGGCTGAGGAGGGTGGATCACTTGAGCAGGTGATTCAAAACCAGCCTGGCCAACATGGTCAAACCCTGTCTCTACTAAAAATACAAAAATTAGCTGGGTGTGGTGGTGTGCACCAGTAGTCCCAGCTACTTGGGAGGCTGAGGCAGGAGGATCGCTTGAACCTGGGAGGCAGAGGTTGCAGTGAGCAGAGATCCCACCATTGCATCACATGGTTCTTCAGGAAAAGGAGGAGGGAGATGGTTCTAGAGAGATTCAGGGAGCCTGTCTGATTCAGAACATTGCTCAGGACTCTTGTTGCAAAGCATCTACTCTAGGTCATTGAAGCCAAGAAGGAGTTTAGTTAGGGACATTAGGTATTCCCAGGCTTCCTACTAGAGGCCACCCTGCCCAGGGCAATGCCTAAACCAGGAAGTCAGCAGCTCCAGCAAAAACCCTGTGGCCACTGCCATTGGTGGCCATACCTGGCAGTGCCAGGGAATCATGTTGAGTACTGGGTGCCAGAAATGCAAGCCTAAAAGCCTCTGCCACCATTCTGGCCAGACGATGGTTTCTGCCTGCTGCCTACTTCTGAATCCAAGTCTCACTGGGTGTCACATGCCTGAGCCCTAACT